TTGTATGGCAACTTGTGTACCATTGTCTTAGTGAAGGTTTCTACGGCCGAGATAAAGCCCCATAACCAAGAGCAACTTGGGGAGGAAAGGGTTTGGTTTGGTTTGGGTTTTCTCCATATAGTTCCATATTGCTGTTTATCATCCGGAGATGTCAGGGTAGGAACTCAAGGCGGGAACCTGAAAGCAGGGACTGAGGCAGAGGGCGTGGCTACTGGCTTGCTACCCGTGGCTCGTTCAGCATGTCTTTCTTATCCCCAGGACCGCCTGCCCAGAGGTGACACTGCCCTAGGTCAGCTGGGCCCTCCCACATCGATCATTACTCAAGAAAATGCCCCTACAGGTTTGTCTACAGAGAATCTGACGGGGGTATCCTCTCAACTGAGGTTCTTCTTCGTAGATAACTCTAGCTTGTGTCAGGTTGACAAAAAACAAACACTCGTACACACACCAAACAAACAAAAGCTAACCAGGACAACTAGGTATATTCCATTCATACCTATCATGTGCGCTGATTGCGCCTAGTGGTCCTGGTGGCTTTTCTGATCCCACAGAGAGCTCAGCATGACCATAGAGAGACTGAGAAGTCGCTGTGAATATTGTGGGGACATGACCTGGCTTAGCCTGGGTGGAGACCCCCAGTGGACGGACACTGCCACCGCAGTGGCAGACGTAGCATGGATACCCCAGCAGAGTCTCAGCTCCTCTTGGACGCCCCACAGAGAACTCATCAGCCTTCACTGACTGCCCATTTTATAAGGACCCATTGCTTCCTTGAGCATTTTCAGTCAACCATTAACCCAAGACAAAAAAAATCAGCGCTTTGCTGCACACTGTCCCAGAGAGTTAGTTTTGCTTTACAAATCTTACCTCGGGCCATTCAGAGTAATAACTTACACATGTCCACTATGGGACATTTCATGGGAAAACACAGGGAGCTGGACTCTCTCCCAACAGTTAGCAATTAAGAAAACACCCCACAGATACGCCTGCAGGCCAGCCTGAGGGAAGCGGTTTCATAACTGAGAGCCCCTCTTTCAAGGTGTGCCTGGTTTGGGTCATGGCAACAAAAAACTAACTATGACCCAAGTCAGGAGCGCAGCCCTTCATGGTGGTGTCAGGACTGTGAGGTAGTCACATTGTGCCGTGCCCACACTTAGTAAGGAGAGAACCGTGCTCACTGCTGCTCAGATAGAATTCCCCCTTGTCAGCAGTCCAGGGTCCCAGCCCAGGGAATGGTACACTCATTGTGAGTGTGAAATGTCCCAGCTCAACCAATCCAGTAAGATAACCCCCCACAGACATGCGCAGAGGCTAACCTAACCTAGGCAGTCCAACATGGTCGTGCCCAGAAGCCTGTCTTCCGGGAGATTCTAGATTGCTAGCCAATGTGAACTGTCATCAGCCTTTCCTAGGAGGGGTTGTGGAGTGTGAATTGGGTTTTTGGTCCCTCGGTGACGGTGGACAGGATATGTGAGAGCTCGGATGACTGGCAGGGACTCTGTGTTGTGGGTTTTCCAGAGAAGGGGCAGCCTGGGCGTGGTAGCATAGAGCCTGGGGGATTGATGCTCCCATCCTGCAAGGGGGTCAGGCGAGGGCACCCACAGATAGGACCCTGATCCCGAACCATGTGATGTTCAGTCTTCACATCTGGCTTGAGATTACGTAGTTCAGCTTCATCTCTTGGAGGTGAAGCTGTTTAGCTGTGTGCCCACACAGTCTTCTTAACCTCTGCCTGGAGTCCAGGCCCACCTCCCATCTGTGTGGGTGACGGATGAAAAGTTAGGTGCCTTGCTGAGTTCTGCAAGCCCCCACAAAGCACCACCCATGGGGCAATCTCCAGGCCGTGCCCCTGGGGTGACATTTGTAGGGATAAGCAGGGGGTAAAGGGTTGTGAGATGAAAACCAAGTGACAACTATACACACACCCAGTGTGCACTGTCCTAAGTGTGAGGTGGGCATGGGGGATATAGTCTGAACACATTGGCAGGATCTAGAGGTCTGTGTTCCTCCTTAGCTCTCTCCCACATCATCCCAAGTCAGGGAGTTGGCACAGGAGAGCCAGAGGTGCCCTGAGCTACTTACTCTTCTTTATTAACTGGACTGGATTCGGAGTCACCTGCACAAGAGCCGTGGTGAGCAGCTGCATGCTCATGCACTAGTGACATGCACAACCCTTTGCAGCAGACATCGATCTCAAGTATCTTCTCCGGAGACAAGGTTTCCTGAGAGGTTTGGGGAACTTAAGGTCTTCCATTTTGTGTCCGTCCTACGGTGGTCCTGGGTTAGTGTTAAGGTATTCTGTTAGTGTGTCTGTCCTGCTGTGGCCCTGGGTTAGTGGTTGTCCCTAATGATGCTGTGCAATTGTCCCCAGTGGAAACCCTGGGCTGTGTGGCAGAATCCCCACCAGGTGGCAGTGGCATCTTGCTCATAAGTCCCCAGGAAGCCACTCAGCTGGTGAATCTGAACATGGAGAAGTCACCACCAGAAAATGAAAACCTCGGTGCAGAGTTAGAACTGGGAAAGCATTAGCTCTGTGTCCTGTCTCACGATTCCATTGCCCATCACCTACAGGTAGACTTTCATCACCTAGTATCTCTCTTTTCTTTCCCTCCTCTCTAATTATGCTGTACCCACGTGTACATGTGTTTATACACATATACACAGATTACTGTTCATATGCTTGCATGCGTATATTATTGTATTTAAACAAACATTATGTTATGTGTATGTTATGTTTATATATACACACATGTACAAATTCAGGTTCATACTTTATTGGGAGGTTGTTATGGTTTATTCTTTTTATATACATTTTTATTTGAATTAGAAACAATCTTATTTTATATATCAATCCCAGTTCCCTCTCCCTCCCATCCTCCCATGTCCCCCCAACACCCCCCCCCCCCGGTTTAGATTTATTCTAAAGAGTTTACAATTGTTTGTATCTGTGTGCGGGTTTGTGCATGTGAGGGCAATGCCTGAAGAGTCCAGAAGAGGGCGCTGGATATCTCAGGACTGGAGTTACTGGTGGTTGTGAGCCACCTAGTGGATGCTGGGAACTGGACTTGGGTCTTCTGCAGGGGCCGTGTGCATTATCAACCCCGGAGCCATCTTCCCGGCCTGTCTAGGCTTGTGCTAAGGACTGGAAGGCAGCTTAGTCAGTAAAGTGCTTGATACAGGAGCAAGAATGAACGAAATGAGGACACGATCTCTCCAAGGTGAAGGCTTTTCGTTGGAGCTATGAGGGAGAGAACAGCCAGAGGAATCTGGAAGAGTGCAGAGTGGACAGAGAAAGCAGTAGACCCCCCCACATGGCCAGCAGACTGGACTGGGCCATGACACGGGGCGGGGACTGAGAGCGGAGGACCAAAAGAGAGGGACAAAGGCAAGGGGGGCGAGTGGACCAAGAAGAGAAAGAGGACCATGAGAGGCAAGAGGGCAAAAAAGGGAATGCGTGGCCGAAATGTCAGGGTTGCATAGTCGGAATGAGAAGCTGGGGGAAATGAGGAGCACGAGGAGCTTGGGGTAGGGGGCGGGGCGAGAAGAGCTGAGCCTTAGGATAGGGGGCGGGGCGAGACGAGCAGAGCGAGCCTGCAAACCCTTTAGTATGCTAACAGCCATCACAGTTTCCCATTTGTCCCAGTTTTATTTTGAACCTAACAATGAATACCCGAGTTTGACCCCCAGAACCCGAGTAAGAATCTGGGTGGCATGGTGTACGCTTATACTCCTAGGCCTGGGGCCAGGCAGGTCAATGAGGTACAATCTCGTAAAACAAGGCGTTGGCTCCTGGGGGAACAGCACCTGCCGCGTCCTGCGCAGCCAGTTCCTGGAAATCCGCCTGGGGCAACATGTGAATGATGTAAGGACAGACCCACAGACACACGTGCAGAGAAGCTGGGATCAGGCGGGCTACACCTGCCCTGATGGAGCAGCACCGACGTCGGAATACTATAGACTACCCCAGGACCTCAGCGCATTTATTACACATAGCGTGGGAAGGAGGGGTCAGCTAGTCTCTGACGTCTCTGTAACAGTCTCAGGCAGCAGCCGTCCTGGGAGGGAGAAGCTGCTCTTGCTAGTGTTTGCACAGATGTTAGTAAACACTTGCGCTTGGAGCAGAAGGCTTTGCCATGGCCCTGAGCCTCCCCCAGAGGAAGGCTTTGCACTGGTGTCCTTGACACGGCTATGCCCAGTCACTCAGGTCTGCATCCACTCCTTACACATCACCTGGGGCTTCCTCGGCTCCCCACAGGCACCTGAGCACGACCTCTGACCTCCGCATGGGCGTGTGTATGCGCGCGCGCATACATACACACACACACACACACACTCATGAGCACTTATACACACATATGTATCCATGCACACACACACAACTTTTTAAAAATTATTTGCCCCAAAATCTTTACACATATTCAGCCCGCTCACACTGAATTCAGAGAGCCCTGTGAACAAACGGCTCCTGTGGTCGTCCCAATCTTCCAGACGCCGAGATGGGGCCACTGGGACTTTCAGAAGCACGCCCAACACCACACAGCTGGGACTTGAACCAGGTGGGCTGGCTTCGAACCCCTCTCTTGTGAGTGTTTGTGACGTCAATGGGAGTTACGCTATGTCTCCAGGCTGCTGCTGTCGTTAGCAACAGCCCGTGGCAGAGGCCCCTTTTCCAAGGACACGACCACAGAACCAGAAGAAACTCAAAGACAGATGCTCCTTCCTCAGGCCACTGCCACTTTTCCAGAGCCCCTGACCTGGGGACTTGATGTCTACAGGCAGGCTTCCGTGAGACCCAACTGTCTTGCACCTGGGAAAAATGGCTCCCACCACTCCTGCAGGGTACACCTGGGGAAAATGGCTCCCATCACCCCTGCAGGGTACTTCTACTCTAGATACAGGGGGTTCTTGCAGCCTGGTTTCCTGGGGTGCATGAGAACGTGTGACCAGCATGGCTGACTCTCTTCTGGGGTTGTTTTTTTCTCTTTGTGACCCATGCTTAGGATCTACAATGTAGCCTGGTATGTTCCGGCCTCCTGGGTAAGCTAGCGCTGTGTGAGGTGTGGCAGAGTCCAGGATATCTTCAGCCCCGGGCTGGTCCTGCCCACAGGTGAGTGTCTTCCCATTCCAGTGCCCACTCCGCACTGCTCTGCAGTTCTGAGGTTCTGAGGTTGCTGACCTGGCCAAGACCTGGGCTCTGGAGATACAGGGCCTTACCTAGTTTGCTTTCTGTTTCTGTGATAAACACCTTGAGTCAAAGCAAGCAGGTTACTGCCCACTGAGCAGTGAAGCCAAGGTAGGAACTCAAGGCAGGAGCTGGAAGAAGAAACCACAAAGAAATGCCCCCCACCCCACTGCATCCCCCCCCCACTCCAAGGCTCCTTGCCTAGAGGTGGGCACCCTCACTCACAGTCATTAACCAAGAAAATGCCCCGAAGACAATCCAGTTGGAAGCGGTGTCTTTGATGGAGCCTCACTGCTGGGTGATTCTAGCTTGGGTCAAGCTGACTAATAAGTAGGGGAGGTTACTGTGGCTCCAACCCAGAACTTGAGTGGTATCCCATAGACTCTCCCAACCCCCAGAGCCTTTCCTTTCACACATCGGCTGGGGTTCAGCTCACTCAGGTTCCCAGGTCTGGGCCCTCCAGGTCCAGGGGAGGATAGGCCCATCCCAGAGCTCCCCCCTGTGAGCAGCTTGGAGTGAGAAACGCCTTTGGGGTGGGGGTGAGAAATGCCAAGCCACATTAGAAGATGACTTTGCAATTACATAGGAAGCGGAATGTGTCTGCACCCCGTGACCTCCCTCCCTCCCTCCCTCCTTCCCTCCCTCCCTCCCTCCCTCCTTTCCTACTTCTTTCAGACAAGGTCCCAGGGTGGCCTCAAACTTTCTACATAGCTAAGCATGACCTTGAACCCCTGGCCATCAACTTCAGCTCTAGGATGTGGGATGACAATCTTGAACCATCTCACCCGATTCCACTCCATGCTGGGGATCAAGCCCAGGTGCTCTGTGTGTGCTAAGCAAACATTCTAGGAGCTGAGCCACCTCCCTCCCCACCCCCAGTCCCCTTGTCAGCTTTTGAGGAATCCTGGAGAAGCTGTGCTGACTCCTTTGTTGGCTCCACCCATAGCAAGCCCAGTGGAAGGATCGATGGGCTGAGCCTAGAAGCTTGCCTGGCAGTGATGAGGTCTTCTGGAAGGGAATCTGGAGCTGTCGCGTCAGGCCTGGCTGGCTTGCCTCCAGATTAAAACATCTATTTGCCTCAGCCGCTAATTGGGGTTTTCTATTACTCACAGCCACACCCTGCAGGGGCAGGCTAGGGACTCTGAGAACAGATTCAGAGCTTGTCTAGTGCACACGGGGCACCTGGGTTTGAGCCCAAGTACCAAGTAAAAGTAGGAGTGGTAATGCAAACCTGTAATCCCAGTGCTTGAGAGGTAGACCAGGAAGGATCAGGACGTTAAGGTCATCCTTGGCTACCTAGCAAGTCTGAGGCCAGCCTGGGATTCCTGAGATACTGGCAGAACAAAATAAAATAAAAATTATTCAAAAGCCTGGTCAAGCTTTGGCTCCTCTCCAGATTCTCTGCAGGGATCCTCAGCTGTTGGAGCTTAGGAAGAATTCAGATATAGGAGGAAACGTCCCAAACGTGTCCCCGCGTGTTCCCCAGCTGCCTGCTGCAGGACGCTGTTACATCTCCAACACTTGTCCTTCTTCCTGTCCCAGCTTATGTTTCCACGGCCACCGGGGCATTGCTTGTCACAGTTGTCAGATTGCAAAAGACAGGGGAACCTGAACCATTCCCAGCTTCCTCCCCCATCATCCTCCAGAAAACTGGCTTCCCAGAAGGGGGCTGTCACTGTGTCGACTCCACCTGTCGACGCCAAGCGTGGGCGTTGGAGAATCCCAGTCGGCCGTCCAAATGCTGGTGATCAGAACTGACTTGTGGCCAAGACACCAGAGCTGGGACTTTACCCCCAGCCAGCTCTCACATCTGGTAAATGGTGCTGCAATGGCTCCTGCATCTTCATGAGGGAGCAGCTACTGAGTTACCTTGGAACTCACAGCCTGGTCTGTGCAGGCATGGTCAGGGAACTGCAGAGACCCAAGCACGCCATTACCTCCAAGGTACCCTGAGCCTGTGAGGCAAGGGAGATGGGGTGTGATTCTGGCAAGTGTCTTTCCTCAGCCATCAGGCTAAAAATGTAACCGTTTGTATAAAAAAACCGGGTCTTAGTCACGAAAGAAAAGTGAAGGAGTGATGGAGAGGAGCGTCCCACACTTGGCAAACTTGTGATGAATTTGCACTTCCTGTTCAAAGTCACTGACATTTTTGGAAAATCCAAATATAATCAAGGCATTTTAAAAGATCCAAACAGAATCGGAGAAACTTGAGGCTCATTAGCATAAGTCTCAACTAGACAGAATGCTTTTTTTTCTGGGAAGATTGCTTTCCCTGGAGGCTGTGTGAGCATGGGGCTGGGGAAGGAACTGGTTCAGTCATCAAGGTTGAGCTTGGAAAGAACAATGGCACTCTGGTTGTCACACTCACCCAACATGGAGCTTACAGCCTGGGGAGCAGAGTGGGTTTTGAGGTATGGTGTGAGCCTTCAAGGACTGTGAGATCGAAGCAGATCTTATTTAAAAGCCAAGAGAGCAGCGTAGAGGAGCTTTCCTCAGAAGTCTGTGGCTGCCTGAGCCCTGCCATGTTCGCCCGGCTGCAATTCTTCTCTCTGGACGTGGTTGACACTCACCAGGGTCCATCCGTCCCCCCACCCATGCCCCCCTGTCTGTGTCTGTCCCTGCCCCTGCCTGCCCCCCCCGCCCCAGGTATAGTCAGACACTGTGGCCTTTGGCGTGTACTGTGGAAGACAGTGGTCACTGTTAGGTGGTATGCTTGGGGAAGGAGAAGACGGGGTGGACCGGAGATCTCCCAGTTCAGCATCCTTCAGCTGAGAGCTTTGTGAAAGTTGCCTCGGCCAGGGTCACGGGGCTGAAGGAAGAAGCTTCAAGGGGGTGTCTGCTGTTTTAGGAAAACGATGCGCATGTTTGTGTGTGCCTCTGTGTGTGCATTCTCGTGTGTGTACTGTGGCTGCGCACATGCCGTGACATGCGTGTGGGGTCGGAGCACAGCCTCAGATCTGGGTCCTCAGCTCCCTCTTGCTAATGCTGCAGCGTGGACCAGACAAGTTGGCCTGACTCTCTGCCTCCTTTCATTGCTGTGAAAATGCTGTGACTACAGGTGCGTGTGACCGTGCATGTCTGGCTTTATGTGGGTTCTGGGAATCTGGATTAGGTTCCTCACACTTTTGGAGCAAGCCTGTTATCTATTGACCCGTCTCCCCAGCCCTCCAGTATATTCGCTTAAAGATTACCAAGGGAGGTAGGTGTCTTATACCCCTGAAAGGTGCTGGCTTGGTGAACACGTGACCTGTATCACATGGCTGCGGTCCCCAGGTGTCAGGGGTGGTGGTGGTGGTGAAGACTTCCTGTTCATGAGCTACGAGCATGGAAGGCTGCAGGAGTCAGGTGTGCCTGTCAACCCTCCGCAGCAGCGTCTGGACATCTATTCTAACAGCTAGAACCTTCTGCTTTCTGCCGCATCCCTATCTCGGGCTCACACGAATAATGTCTCCACCACCCTGCACAGTAGGCTGTCCAGACCCTGACTGTCCTCACTGACTTCCGGCTTCCCAGCCCCTCAATTTATTATCCAAGATGCTGTGTTTAAGGAGTCCCCAGAGAGCCGGAGGCTGGAGGCTGGCAGAGGGAAGGCGAGTCTCAGCTGCCTCTGGGGTCCAGGCTCATGGCTAGAACTGAGATCCGGTTTCTCTGCTACCCACACCCGGTGTCAGTCTGGGCTAGAATCTGCCCCTCCTCTCTTCCTCCTCCCCCTCTCCCCTTACCTGCTGTATGTATGTATGTATGTATGTATGTATGTATGTATGTATGTATCCCAGGACCTTGTGCACACTAGGCTGGTGGTCTGTCACTGAAGCTATAGTCCTAGCCATCTTTTTATTTCTTATTTTTTATTTTTGAGACAGAGTCACGCTTGATTGCTCAGGCTGTCCCTGGACTTTCCTGTCCTCCTGTGCCAGGGGTCTGGGATTTCCGGTCTGTCTAGCAGCCTGGAGAGTAGCCTGTAAATCCACAAAGATGGGTGAGGGCAGGTTTAAATGAGTCCACAAGACCCAGATAAATGATAAACAGGTGTTTATCAGGGAAGCACTCACACAATTAATGGTAAATAACCGCCACGGTCTTCCTACTCCTGAAAATGCAGTCTCTGCCCTTCCAGATCTCCACTACCACCCAAGAGAGCCAGCCAGCCCCTCCTCTTCCTCATAAGGGGGTCACATTTGCACACCTGAAGCCACGCCCCTAGGATGCAGCCATCATCGCCAGCCCACTGGCGGAACAAGATGCCATGACAGATGGGTCTTGTGGTCTTGTCTAACATGCCCAGGACCTGCAGGGAGGAGAAACAAGCAGGACTTAAAAAGGAGGTTCTTTTAACTCACAGTCCCTAGTAAGGCTTATTTCCAAAAAGTCCACTTGTATGACTTTTTACACCTGCATGCATATGCACATACATGCATACACACATATACACACACATGCATACACCTGCATAAACAATGCATGTACACATGCACACATATACACATGCACAAACACACACACACAGTGCACTGAGGCACACATACCCGTGCATGCACACACATGCACATATGCCTGTATGCACAAACCTATGCACATACACCTGCACACACAGACACATGCACAATACATGTGCACATGCACACACACATGCACATACACATGCACACACACAAACTCTGAGGTGGTTAATGTTCCTAAACCCAGAGCCTTCAGCCTGTCTCCAGTTGTGATCACAGCTGCCCTAAGCTCCAATGGGACTGGGTTCTGCTGGGCATTTCGCGGTAAATTTATCAAAGCCACATTTGGCACCTGACATCATTCACTGTTTGCCACCTACCTGCTGGGGGCAGCTGGCTTCTATAGCAAGGAGACACCTTCCATCCACACAACTGATTCCCGACTCTTCAGTTGTTGGATCTCACAGACACGGCCCCCAATTGGATTGGAGGTGCTGGAGGCTTTTTAACTCGTCATGACCTCACAGCTGGGTTGCGTGGCGCCGCTGATAGAACACAGCAGAGCGAGGGAAACCAGGACTCAGCTCAATGTCTTCCTTCCTCCCTTTACTTCATAGGGACCCCTGTCCCTTAGCCTGGGGTTTCCCCACCCCACCGTGTCGATATGTTTTGTTTGTGCTGTAACAAATAAAGCTGAGATCAGAGTGTGGGGCTAACCACACGAGTTAACCACAGAGGCCAGGCAGTGGTGGTGCACGCCTTTAATCCCAGCACTTGGCAGACAAAGGCAGGTGGATCTCTTTGAGATCAAGGCCACTCTGGAAGATAGGAAACTGAATCAATCTAAATGAGAAACAGAGCCAAGAGGTGGTGGCTCGCACCTTTAATCCCAGCGCCAGGGAGGTGGAGATGGGAGTGATATTGCTGGGCAGAGAGGGAAGTATAAGGCAGGAGGAGACAGGAGTGCATTGCATTTAATCTGAGGGTTCGCAGGGACAGGAAATGCCCCTTTGGTCTGAGGGTTCAGTAGAGGTGAGAACTAGTGGCTGGCTGCTCTGCTTCTCTGATCTTTCATGGTTAACCCTATATCTGACTCAGGGTTTTTATTAATGACAATTAGAATTCCCGACACTCCCCACCCCAGCTAATCCTCTCTGGACACCTAGAAGCGTTCATCGCTAGTGCCATAGATACTTCTTAATCTTCTGACATGGACCGTGAAGGCCATTGCACCTGGCAATGGTGTTCCCATGATGGCTGATGCCAACCTGACAGGATCTACAGTAACTGAAGAGACAAGCTTCTGGGCTTGCCTGTGAGGACTATCTTGAGCGAACAGTACTGTTCTCTGTGCTGGGGATCCTGTATTGCAGGGAAGGGAAAGGAAGAGAACATGGAGCTGGGTATCGGCCATCTCAGGTCTCTGCTTTCTGAGCGCAAGTGCCTCAGATGTGAGCCGAGCGACCCTCCTCCCCCTTACGTTGCATTTCTTAGGGCATGTCGTCTCCTCACAGCACCAGAAAAAGCACTGAATGCAGCTCTCTAAGGCCGGTGTGGAGGGACCAGAAGAGTCAGTGCTGTGTCTCATGCAAGATGCACTGGGAGAGCCTTGGTCAAACTCCCGTACAGAAGCAGCGAGGCCGTTCCCACGACAGCAGACGCCAAGGCGCCAGGGCATTTTCCCACCCGTGCACCAACGAAGGGTCTTGCACCTCAAAAGATCTGACTCCTCTTGTTTCTGGGCTCTGTCTATTTTGTGCTAAATACATTCTCACAGGCTTCTCCCGAGATGGCAATTCCCAGTTTTAATCCCACAGCTATAGCAAATTCCAGGCTGGGAGGAGCAGGGAGGACCTAAGAACTTTCATAGACTTTTTCACCAAGGCTCGTTGGTCCCAGATAAATATGTGTCCCTGTCTCTGAACCAAACCCTGTCACTAAGGGGATACAATGCACCCATTGGCTCAGCCTTGAGGTCCCATGCTCCAGCCTTGAGCACAGAGACTCTAAGAGGGTAGACTGTAGAAGAAAAGACCACCATGTCATCAGGGGAAGAGTGGGGGGACCATGGGGAGCCAGGCCAACAAGATTCCACCTCAGTCTCACCAAGGAAGGGATGACGACTCAGGTTCTCATTTTTATGTCTAGTCTCCAGAGAGAAGACCCGTGTCTTTGAGAAGTTTGCCACCAGATCCATGACCCAAGGAATTGCTTGCTCTAATGGCAGAGTGGATCACACTAAATTGCTTTTCTCAAACTGAGATCTCATATTTGTGTCAGTGTTTTCCATGTAAAATGCAGAATTTGCTGTTTAACTGCCCTTCCCTTTTGGAGGGGGATCAGCATACAGGGAGGGTCTCTAGCCCAGGCTGGCCTTAACCTTACTTTGTAGCAGAGGGCGGTCTTGAACATCTCATCTTCCTGCCTCTCCCTGCTCAGCGCTGGGCTTACGGACGGACATGTGCCACCACACTTAGGTTGTGCTTGTGCCGATTCTCAAGGGTCTGTGCCAAAGCAGCAACCCTCTGTGCTCCGTGGCATCTTGATTCAACTGCAAAGGGCCGGCTCGTGCCTGGCCGGGGAGCTAGCTCCCGGCTCTCACCTGTCTGGCAGCCCCGTCTGTCCACACTGGCAAGCTGCTTGTCCTGGAAGGCCCTTTGGGAGCCGATTCCTCACAGTGACTCCAAGGTCTCTCACAGGCTGATACCCTCCTGCTAGTCTCCAGCCAGGGCGCAGTGTGGCCACTGTTGACACCAGATAGTGTCCATCTGGCTGCTGCAGTGACCAGTGAGCAAACACAGGCGGGTGGTAGAATCCCCAGCTTCCGGAGCATCCACAATCAGAGGTGCATTGAGGTTGAAACATGAGGAGACCTACGCCCTTGCCCTTTGCACGTGCTGGGAGATGAGGCTATCCCTGATCCACACGGTAAACAGCCACCCCTCATTTCCCCTTCAGCCTGCACTGGGGATTTTAATTGGGTCCAAAACCTGCTTGGCATTTTTGCTTGTTTTCCTCGTATATGGGACTCAAAGTCTAGTCCAGAGTTGTTGCTTAGAGTTTTGTGTGCACACAAATGACTCTGATCACTCGTGTGTGTGTGTGTGTGTGTGTGTGTGTGTGTGTGTGTGTGTGTGTGTGTGTGTGTATGTAGAGAGAGACAGAGAGACAGGGACAGAGAGACAGGGACAGAGAGACAGAGACAGAGAGAGAGAGACAGGGACAGAGAGAGGGGGGCCTATTTTGTCTTCCTTGGTCAGTATCTACTTTATGTTTTGAGACAAGGTAGATCTCTCACTGAACCTGGAACTCACCAGTTTGGCCAGAGAGCTCTAGGGATTTGCTTGACTCCATCTCCAGGCACTGGGTTTCAGACAGTGGTGCTATACAGCTTTTACCTGGTGCTGGGATCCCAAACCAGGTCCTCGTGTTTGCAAGCATCTTACTGAAGGAGCTCAACAGCAGCAGTAGGTGTCCATAAGAGGGTACCCTCATGGCGCAGGAGGAGGAAGGGCCACCGCTTATGCTCTGGGTGCCCTGGGTGGGTGACTGGAGCCTGCAAGCATTCAGTCCCCCATAAAATGGGGTAGTGGAAGTCGGCTTTTCCCTAGACTCTCAGGAAAGGTAGTCACCCAGCCACCCAGCCACACAGTCACACAGTCACCCAGCCACACAGTCACCCAGCCACACAGCCACACAGTCACCCAGCCACCCAGCCACACAGCCACACAGACACATAGTCACCCAGCCACACAGCCACACAGTCACCCAGCCACCCAGCCACCCAGTCACACAGTCACACAGTCACACAGCCACACAGCCACACAGCCACACAGCCACACAGTCACACAGTCACACAGTCACCCAGCCACCCAGCCACACAGACACACAGCCACACAGCCACCCAGTCACCCAGCCACACAGTCACACAGCCACACAGTCACACAGTCACACAGCCACACAGTCACCCAGCCACACAGTCACACAGCCACACAGCCACACAGTCACACAGCCACACAGTCACACAGCCACACAGTCACACAGTCACACAGCCACACAGTCACACAGCCACACAGTCACACAGCCACACAGCCACACAGTCACCCAGCCACACAGACACACAGCCACACAGCCACACAGCCACACAGTCACCCAGCCACACAACTACACAGCCACCCAGTCACACAGGCAGACATAGAATAAGAAGGAAAGAAAAGATATGCAGAAATAGAGAAAGGTAAAAGCCCAGAGGCAAAAGGCAGATGGGATAATTTGAAAAGCTGGCTAGAAACAAGCCAAGCTAAGGCCAGGCACTCATAAGTAAGAATAAGACTCCCTGTGATTTATTTGGGAGATGGGTGATGAACTCCCTAAGAACAAAGACCAGAGAGCCAAAAAGTAAAACAAACAAACAAACAAAAAACTCAATAACAGTCAAGTCATTACTCACTTAGAGTCACTTCATTCATTCATTCATTCATTTGTTTTCTGTTTTAGGGCCTAGGAGTAACTGAAAACTCCCCTCCTGCTGCTATGTCTTCCATGATAGGGGTGTAAGAGTTGAGGCGGTGGGACCCCACCTCAAGTGCACCTCACACGCATAGGGCACTCCTTTTTAGAGGCACCACAACCAAGGCATGCCCTGTCTTCCTGCAACCTGCTGCCTCACGACTTCCGAGGTGTCTTTCAAGGCATCTCGGAGGGCGGGCTCAGTGGGTAGGCGGCCCTGTAGGGTTTTTATTGTTTCTCTCGTCCCTTTTGTGATATGGGCTCATGAGGCTTCAGGCCTTCAGAATGGCATTTCCCCCTCCCAGCATGCCAAGTCGTGACCGGCCTGCCTGGTCCCTGT